TGGAATACTTAATTGTTGGTTAGATTTATGGATGACTATTTTGTTATTTTGCAGCATGCAAAAAGAGATGAGATAATTTGCTGATTTCGTCTAACTAGCATGAAAGTGATATTAACTTTCCGACGGAATTAGAAAAAATAATAGTTAAGCTTTTTGGATGTTACGGTTATTAGGGAAGATATTCACTTAGACAGTAATTTTTATAGGAAATAAGCATATATGCTGGATCTATGCTGCAAATTTCTTTCTAACCCTGGTTGGAATTTTAAAGTTCTCTTTTGTTAAGAGTACGAGGCTTGATAATATAAACATTCAACTAAACCATCCGATGAGTTAAAAGAGTAATTCCTAGAAAATAATTATCCTTTAGGCTTACTTGAAAATAATATCTATATAATAGGGTTCAGTGGTAATGCGTCGCCTCTTTGCGTGCATGACCCGGTCGTGAATGCAGTTGAGGGGTGGCTGATGAGATGTTGAGGCTCGACCGAAACCAACTTATTGTTCATTCGGGATGAGAACACATTTTCGACAGCCCGACTGAGGGAATCACAAAGTCCTCGAGAGGTGTATTTATATAATTATGTACAAACCTTTACTATTAGTCAATAAATCCATTTGAGCAATTTAGGCAAATTGACTCCTTTAATAGGAATTGTGTTCAGCCTAGGTCGCTCAAGGTGCTGATAAATGAATTTTTACACAATAATTTATTATTGGTATTGAAACCTACTCAATATGAATATAAGTAGTGCAGTATATTGTAATAGCAAATACATAGTGATTCGACTTTTCATTTCGTAGGTACGTCTACTATCAATACTACTATTACAGATAATGATGAAACCTGCTAAATTTTAATATAAGTCATGTATTCGATTTTAGTGGCAAATACCTGTATGCGTCTAACAATAAATGTTACACGTCTGAAGCATATGCTATACTACTCAGGTTTTATTCCAATTTGAGGTAGAAACTGAAATCCCGTTTGGCCGGGACGAGGATGTCATTTCTGGAAGCAAGACCGGGTGAAATTCACTGCAAAGTGGAAAATATTCAACTATCAGTTGTCCTCCTTCACCTCCTGTTTTAAGATCTACTGGCGGCATCGAAACTGAGTGAATCCGAGTCTGTACATTCGGTGTGAGCAAATTTAGCCTGTGGATAGTCAATGCGTCTGCCCTGCAGATGAGGCTGCCAACAGATCGGAAGGGTTCTGGGCAGATTGCGAGCTTTGGTTGAGGCGAAAATCCGAGAAAATGTGAGAAAGATCAGCTGGACCCGACAAGTGTTCCAGTTTGAGTGGGCACTTAAACTGTGAACCCGAGTTTTGGTCGCCATGACAAGAGGATTTGGGAAGGACACACCCTCGAGTACTCCCCTCATGACCGATTCGACGGCTTGCCTCGGCAGCAACGACCAACCGGGAGGGCCGGTACCACTTTACGTCTCTGCCTACTTGAGTCGGTTCCCGTCCTCCGTAATCCACAAGCTCCGGTATCGCCTGCTTGTCGAGTCGCTTCTTCACTTAATCCACTCTCGTCTCGTTCGGCAGGACGCTTTGAGTACTGAAGGCCGGCCGTCGGTCGGCGTCTTCTGGCCTCATTTCACACCGGCTGAAGCGTGAAATTCCCTCGGACAAACACCTGCCGGTTCCCAGAACGCAATGCCCGATTTGCAGACTTGATCACTCCCTCCTTTACTTGTCGTCGACAGCATCATCATCATCATCATCATCATCCTTCCAGGCCAAAGCAGCAACAATAGTAGCAGTCCATTGTTACAACAGCTTGTGGCCGAATCTCGCTCGATTCCGCTGGGTCTGGAGCGCCCGGAAGTTCTGTCTAACACCAGATTTGAAGGCATAAATTGGCAAAAACCTCAATTTCTGCCTCCCTTTTCACATTGGCATGCACTCCAAAAGGGAGTTCTCCTCTACCGCCTGGACGGCAGATTCAACTTCGAAGAAAAGTTGGGTTTCGAGGAATCTTTTATTTCATAATTGTTAAGCTTATTTCCATTTCGAGTGGAATAAGCGAACACAAACAGGCACATACAAATACAAAGACAGAGACACTCACATGCATCGAAGTTGACATTTGACCGTAACTAAGCAAATCAAAGAGGCCAGATGTAGAGTATATGTACCACTTTTTTGGGATTTGCCGGTGAGTTTTTATGACTCGTTAGTTTCAATTTTGTTGTGACGATGTTACCTCACTCTGATGATGTCCGTCATATGACGGACGAAATATTAGCACCTTCTCACCGGAATCGCGCATCTCATACATCTCACGTATCTTCCACATCATACACATATCATACATTTCACACATCCTCCACATCTCACACATCTTACATATCTCATACATAGCACACATCTCACAAATCTCACACATCTTCCACATCTCACACATCTCACACTTTTCACACATCTTCCACATCTCACACATCTTCCACATCTCGCACATCTTCCACACCTCACACATCATCCACATCTCACGCATCCCACATATCACACACATCTTCCACATCATACAAATCTCACACATCTCACACATCTCACACATCTTCCACATCATACACATAGCACACATCTCACACATCATCCACATCTCACACATCTAACATATCTCACACATCTTCTACATCTCATACATCTTACACATTTCACACATCTTCCACATCTCGCACATCTTCCACATCTAATACATCATCCACATCCCACGCATCCCACACATCACACACATCTTCCACATCATACACATCTCCCACATCTCACAAATCTCCTACATCTTCCACATCTCACACATCCTACACATCTCAGACATCTTCCACATCATACACATAGCACACATCCCACACATCTCACACATCTCACACATCTCACACATCTCACACATCTCACACATCTCACACATCTTCCACATCATACACATAGCACACATCTCACACATTTCACACATCTCACATCATAAAAGAGGTCAGATATAGAGTATGTATACAGCGTTTTAAGTGTCTCGTTAGTTTGAATTTTGTTGTGACGGTGTTACCTCGCTCTGATGATGTTGGTCATGTGACGGACGAAAGCTCGACAACATGAGGTTAATTCTTATCCTGTCAGATCAATTGTAATAGTGGCTGATCAATTTTATTATTATATTGCCCGAAAATATCATATCAGATCACATTATATCTTTTCAGTTCAGATCTAGTTTAAGGTTAATTCTCATCTTTTCATATCACATTTTCTATTATCAGATCACAACATATCATATCAGATCACATCTTCCGACATTTTCCATATTCAATTTTCAGTTTTATTCTCCTCTTATATGATTACTTTTTATATTATCGGTTCACATTTATGTCATTTCTAAAGTCATTTTAAATCTTCTATTTTCAGATTGTTTCTCGTTATTTCAGCTCATTTTTACTATTAATCAGAAAATTAATATCAGATCGTTTTTTATCTTATTACAGCCTATCGTATCTTTTCAGATCCAGCCTCATTATATCATTTCCTATATCATCTCACCTTATATTTATATATTTTTTGTGCACAAATAGAATACTACTTAATATTTATAAATAGTTAAGGAATGATATCGAATAATTTATTTGGTTCCTTCTCATTTTAACCTATGTTGCTATTCGCTTATGCTTGTGTGTGTTTTTGATGAGTTGATGGGTATGACTGACGTTTTGGACGAATGTGAGCCGATCAGATTTGTCGCCTTCAGCATCCTTTATCTCTCTATCTCTTTCTGTCTCCGTAAGTCTATCAATCGAGCATGATTGGTTATTACCCAATTTCAGCCAAACTTTGGTGAATATGGCAACAGGTCTCACTGACAGAAGCACATCTGGATGTTCGAAAACCATTTTATTTCCCCACCTTACCAATTCAGCCATCCTTTTATGATGAAGACTTGATGACAGTGGTCTCAATTTGCTAATCTTCTTCCGAATAGTCACTTTAGAAAGATTTATTCCGTACTAAAAGGACATTTATTTAAATTAGTTCTAGAAGCTTATCATCTAATTCGCCGGCCAAATCATGTCTATCGTTAAGCCTCCTACACCTACCTCGAAATGCCAACTTTAGTTTTGAGGCACAGTCTCCTTTAACTGTAGGGTGTTGGCTCGACCTCGAAAGTAATATTAAAATACATTTTTTGTATGGTGTGTTTATCAAGTAAGGTGTAAGTACCATAGGCATGCTTATAGCTTTTATTACAAATATTCCTTTAACTGTACTGCTAGGATTGCCAACTTATGACTTGTCAAAGTTATAACTCAGGATGGTGCTTCTCACTGGCGACGCCGATCAAGATAATTGTGAAAAGTCTGGGAATGCACCAAATTAGCTTTGAGATGTTGGAAATTAACAGGACAGGAGACTGTGAGTGTTCAAAAATGTTTCCTTGCACCTCCGATCAAATTGGGAAAATGGTGGGAAAAAATAGTCTGATTGAAAATGGAAAATATGAAAAGCAACCCATAAGCACTTTATTATATTTCGCGCCTTATTTAATGAACGAAACCATAAAAAAACTGTATCGTAATATTACTCTCGAGATCAAGGAGACCTCGACCGAAACTAGGGCCACACCATTTTCATATTCATACATCTAGGAATTGAAAAATGAAAAAAAAGTATTTACCCTACTTCGTTTAGCTGATGAAAGAATGATAGTTGAATTTTGCCACAATCAGGTGAGTAGACCCTACATTTGCGATTAACTTTCATATAAGCTCGTTTCCCAAGGATTACTCTCATCCAAGATGAAAGACTTTGGGAGGCAAAGCCATGCGAAATGTAATGAAGATCGTAGACAGTTCCAACCTTAAGTCATTCATCATCGCATATGATCTAAATTGGTAGTCTCGAAAAGCTACTTTCAAATAGGAAAAAAAATAAGTAAAATTGGCATTTCGAATTCGATGCTTCTTAGGCATAGGAGGCTTGCTACGGAAATCATTTGACTGGCGAGTTGGATAATTAGCCTCTAGGCTAGATCGAAATTAATATCCTTTTATATGAAGAATAACTTTTTTCAATAAGGTAACATGAGACCTTTCCTCGTGCCTTAACTTGGTTGACAGGCTCTCTTCCTAAAAAGATATGTGAACCGGTTAGGAAATAGGGGAAAAAAACAGAAAGAAAAGTTGCACAAAAACCTTTCGGCATCACTGCCTTAATTAGCAAAAATATCCCCAAAAATGTGTACTCTCCTGTTTTTTGTAGTTTCATTATGATCGTAGCATTACTTCCACTCCGGTCAAGTGCAGAAAGCACCTTCGATGCGACAAGGTTTCGAGACTATCAGTAAGTGTTGAATAAGATCTCAATCGGCCAGGGTCGCCTACGGTCATTTGAGTTTTCCCACAACCAGACGACTTGACCATTGCATCTCACTTGGTTCCAAGTCAAGCCAAAATGAGAAGTCGCCTAAACTATCTTTAATCTGAAATGTATTCACCCGATTTCGCTTAAGGTGATGAAGGAAAGGTAGTTGATTTTTCACACAATGATATGAATAGAGCTGACGTTTCCATTCAATTACACATAGCCTTGCTTTCCCATCAGTATTTCTTATCCAGGGTGCTAGGCAACGTGAAATTGAATGTCAGCTATATTCATATCGTTGTGTGAAAAATCAACTACTATCTCATATTACTGATTTACTGGTAGTCTCGAAACTCTTCTTACATACCAAAAATATACTCTTAATCTGTTGTAAGATGGCAAACTAGTCAAGTTGGGGGTAAATTTCGCTGGGCAAACTAGCAGCTTAGCGACAACGTATCGTAAGTCCTTGCATACGTACTCACAGTCGTTGCACACATCGGACAACCTGGTCCCCTCCGTCCGAGGTGTTTGGGGAATTACGCATTCACACTCATCCGGGCTCAGGCTAACTCGTTCAGGCTCTGTTCAAGTTTCGCCAAACAGTTAGGAAGTAGTGCTCGGACACATTTCGCATACCGTCTCTGAGTGACCCTCCAGAAGGAAGTCCAGAGGTTGAATCTGTCTGTATCTGTCCATCTTCATCTATAGCCTAAAGGTATGCAGAGGTTGTGAAATAGAACCGACTAGTTTTCTTGACTTCATGTTGGAGTTGGTCTCTTGCAAACCGGATAAGATCAAAGTAAGTCTTCTGGTGAGACCGACTCGGACGAATCTTTTCATCATGCACAGACACAC